ATATTTAAGTTTATACAAAACGCAGCGCAAAATAAAATATCCGGGAATGAAAAAAAAAAATAACATAATATAGTCATCCTCGAAAAATTTGCAACATTTTTGTATAAATTTCGTGAAAATCAATCTACAAATGTGGAAGTAGTTCTTGGTTATACAGATAGAACTAATTTTCTGTGTTAAACCAGGTTCCATAAAGGCTTTGAGGACCGCGCTTCGCGCGTATTGGTACATATGAAATAAGTGATCCTTTATATTTAAACAAACATTTTGATCAAACTGATTTGTGACATTTGTGTAAGCGCATAGTAGAAAAAATATTAGGCATAAATATTTAAATATTAAATATAGGAATATTATTTTAAAATAATGATATCAAAAAGACTCTGATATATGTATATATACAAATGCGGATTGGCTGATATATATTGTAATATAGTTGGCTACTTGTCCCCCACTACCCTCGTTGGTCAATCATCTTCATGAACAAGAGTACATCTTGTTTTTAATACATGAGAGTATTTCAAAAGCAATGAATGATATATTAAGTTTGTGTTTACACAATTTGTGCGTAAAATCAAATGAAAATAGGGAAACTATTACACATAAATATTAAAAATTAGAAATAAGAATATTATTTTAAAATAATGAAATAGAAAAGACTGATATATAATTACAAATTTAGATTGGCTAATATATGTATTAATATGGCCGGCTCTATTTGTTCACTCTATCCTCATTCCATTATCTTCATGCGCAAAAGCACACTTTGTTTTCTTACACTATGAGTATTTCAAAAGTATCGAGTGATATATTAAATTTGTGATTGGACTGGTTGTACGTTAAACCAAACGGAAATTAGAGTAATCAGCGTCAATTTACGCGTCAAGTAATATAATCATAGTCGGCACCAGAAATACTCATACGAAAGGGCCAGCGAATCTGAAAGATTTATTAGCGCAATTTTATGTCATTCTGAGAAATCTCCGGTTTCGCTTCTCTTTGACTGATTTTGATTAAGTTAGCAAATTGATTGGCAAGTGAAACGTGTGTTTCTTATGTGATTTTCCATTGTGATATGTGTGAATCGAATTATTTGCTATACATATTAATTAAATAGAATATTGCAACGAAAATCGATATACAGGATGTCCAAAAAGTCCGGAAACGGTTGAATATTTTGTATACAAACCACTACATATAATAAAAGACATAAGTATACCAAATTGAAGGGCTTAAAGAAAGCTATTTAATTATCACATCAGTTTGACCTCGAATAGCACCATCAGGATCACATAAAAATCAATTAAACTTTTTTAAATTCTAAAAAGATATATGTAATTTGCAACAATTTTTTTAAAAGCAACTATGCGTTTTCTTTACAACAATTAATTGGTCTCATTATTTGATGCATAAAAATATTAAGGTATAATTACCAAAAACTGAATATGTTGCAATACATTTTACATTTTATGTCAAAAAAGTGTCAACTTCGGACCTTTATAATTTAAAAAGTACTTAATAAAAAAATATTTTATTATAATGTTTTGGAAAGCTCTTGAGAAAAACTACAAGAATAGTTAATAAAAAATTGTGGAACCCATTTAAAAAAATTAAAGTGATTTTTATGTGACCTTAATGGTGTAATTCAAAGTTAAACTGATATGATAATTAAATAGCTTTTTAAAGTCTTTTAATTTGGTATACTTATGTCTTCCATTATAGTAGATTGAATAAATTTATAGTAGACGTTTTTAAAATATTCAACCGTTTCCGGATTATTTGGACATCCTATATGGACATGTGTTTAAAACTTTTACAATATATATTAGTAAAAAGAAAATTATCTTCAGTAAAACAAAATTATGGTCACCTATTGATAGTATCAACGTGAAACTCAAGCGAAGTCTGCAATCTCTTCCCGATCCATGAAAAAATCATATCAACAACAATATTCATGTTATGCATGCGTATTGCGGAAGGTATTTCATATTTTAGCGTGATTAAATACACAAAGATATAATTAATTACGTCTCTATATTCTTATATGTGGCCCACATAAAGTGTTACAAGCTGTTTTTTTGCTGTTGCTACAGATATATTAACTTAAATTTCTTCTAATCAAATAGAACGCGGTGCCTAAGAATTTGATAGATAAGAAGAATGTTGAGCGCTTTTGAGGAACAAAAACGGAAGACCCTTCATTTTTTTTAAATGGATCCACTGTCATCTTTTATGTACATCGATTTCTTGCAATGTTTGCCATAAATAATTATAAGATAAGATGACCACAAATAGCAGGGTTAGCAGAAAATTTGTTTTACTTATTTTAGGCAAAAAACATTGATTTTTTGTTTAAAACAATGTTTTTTTGTTTTATACAAAAAAATATTGTTTTTAAGTAAAGGAAAAAAAACATGTTTTAAACAACAAAAAAACACGTTTTACACAAGCAAAAAAACACTTGATAGCTTCAATCTGTGTAAACATATTTAATATATATAAAATTATATATTCTTTATTTTATTTTGAGTTATTTATTTTAAAATTTATTTAATTTTAATTTAATTTATAAAGTAGATATTAAAGAAATACTCAATATTATGTAATGACTGCAATCCAATTCCAATATGTTATAGTTCATTCTTTCTTACTTAAATATGTATTATTTTTTACCTAATGGAATTACATTATTTTATTATTTACAATAGATAAAATGTAAAATGCAATATGTTATAATTTAGATTTTAAGAGTTTGTGCTTTGTGCAGATAGCTTTATATGTATAATTTTAAATGTATTTAATTACATTGATTATTACTTAATACTTATAATAATATTAAATATTCCAAAATTTAATAATATAATTAATAAATTTAATAATATAACTAAAAATTTTATAATAATAATAAATAATCCAAAAATAAATTTTCTGTTAAAATAATACTATTATCTTACTATTTTTATTTTATTATTTATATGTATATTTTTAATTTTATTTCTATAGTATACGTATAAATATAGGTAAACTAAAAATTAAAACAAAAACCTTTCTGCAACATACACGTCTATTAGTTTTTATTTGTTTCTGCTGTCCTTTGCAGTTACTTTATTAAATAATCATATATTTTAATTGCAATGTTTCAAACAGTTTTAAACAGCTGTATAAAACTGTTTAAAACATTGCAATTACAAAATGCAGTTTAAACATGCGTTACAATATGCAGTTTTAAACTACTGTTTAAAACTGTTTAAAATAAATATGTTTAAAAGGGTGTCCACTGTTTTAAACAAGTTTTAATCAAACAGTTTTAAACAAATTGTTTAGAACATACCAAACCTGCAAAATAGTGAATGGTTTACCATATATTTTGTAATTTGATGTGATATAATTTTATAAAAATGTAAATTATAAAATATTTTAACACCTGCCAACCTCGTAGTCAGAAACTAAAGAGGATCGTTTCCGACAGTTAACGTAAATGTGTTGGCTTAGTGAGAATTATCTTAATGTTAATCTTACGACGTTTTATTTTGTTTACTGATATGTTGTAACCGCGTTTAAATATGTTTATTAGACTTTTATGCGTTAAAACATTTAGACTTTGATGATTTTAATTTGCTTTTTGTACTACGCTGAAGAAGATCCGAAAAATTGGATCAAAACGTTCGCTTTTTCATTTGTTTTAACTTTCGAGTTTATTTTTATAATTTTTTATATTATTTAAACTTTATTGTTTCTATTAGTACATATTGATTAAATGTAATAAATTAGTTTTTATAACCGTAATATTACTTCTGCTCTTATTAGCCTTTTATATGTATAATACTTTATTAAAATATCATGTAAATAATTTATATTTTGGTCATTTTACACTTATAACTGTTCATCCCAATAAGAACATGGAATCAATTATCGATATGTAAAAAATTTTAGTAATACCATTTAAGAAAAAATAAGAAGGAATCTCCTTTTTTTCTCTGAAAGATCTTCACATTTTTCTTATTCATTACATTTTCAGGATCCTTGTCCAATTCGATCAAAAACAAATATTTTATTCCATTAATATCTTTAGCAGTTTCAGAGAAAATAGTTGGTAACACTTTATGTGATCCATTCTGTATATATGCATATTCATATATTAAATGAGTCAACTAAAAACCTAAAATAACTTTTATTTTGTAATTTATTGAAATCGAAAAATACACACTTTTACATTACCTTTATACGTAGTTTCCATAATGTGCAATACAAGTCCAGTTATGCAGAAATGCATGGATATCTCTAGAAAAAATGTCTTACCAGAGAGCGTAGGCACTAATGCATCGCCTGCTTCATCTCCATCGGACAAGAAAATCGATTCCATATCACAAAACTGATTAAAAATTACATTAAATAAGCGAATTTAATAAAAAATTTTTAACTTTATTGAACTTAATATATAAATTTCCCCATTCTGATCATTTTTACATTTTCAAAGCCGACTGTTTAAGACCTGCCTCTCATTTTAGCGATCTAAAAACATAAAAATTCTAATACGGGCAAGAAGTGCCGAATACAGTGGTTGTAAGACATTTAAAAAAACGATAAGAGGCAAAAGTCCGACGAAGGGATAAAGCTGGCGGTGCGTGAATGCCTATGCCAAACAGGCTACAGGTAAAAGGCTTTTTTCAAAAGATATCCATAATATTTCAAAGCTGGTCATCTTGTATTACCATGAAGACTACATAGAAATATTACGTAAGTGTACATATTATATATTCAAAAGTTTTGAAATAATAATTATTTAAATTTTCAGTTAATACACATAATATATGTATGTTATTTAAATCAGCTTATCTATTTACTTTCTAATTTATTATCATCACAATATGTTCTTATTTATTTATAAAAAGCTTTAAAAAGAAAATGGAAAATTAAAATGTTATAAAAAACATCCAGTGATTTTTTATCTACACATTTCGTGCGTATATAGAATTTCCATTAGTCTTGCAATAAAATTATTATTGCTCAAACCAGTTACTGCCTCTAATAAATATATGGGCTATGCATATATAAGAAATGAATATTAAAAACGCGATTAATAAATAGAAACGTGAGAGATAACATTTTATAAAAGCAACAAAACTTTTATCAATTGCTTTCAGGAAACATTGCGATGCTGCTTTTCGTCGCATGTCTGCTGCCTCTAGTGGCGAGCGCGCTACTTGATTCACAAACGATCATCAAGACACCAACTTTAATTCTGGATGTCCATAACGGTATCCAAACGGACGTCCGATTTGTCGGATGCTCAAATATAAATCATACGGTAGTAGACCTATCAAATTCTTCTCTTCGCGGATTGGAAAAACCGCTTTCAATAATGTGCTGGATGTGGAGTTGCTTATTTTGGCCAACAATTCGTTAACTTCTCTGCCGGAGTTTGTCTTTTCCAATCTATCGAGTTTAAGGACTCTGTCGCTGTCGGGAAATCAATTATCAGAGATCAATAATTTATTTGTCGGTCTGAAGAATCTGCAATTACTGGATATCTCCCGTAATCCTATTGAAAGTTTATGGCAAGGAGAACTATTTGGTCTCACCAAATCCGTCAAGATTCTCACCAACGAAAATAAGTTTCGGATGATTAGCACAGGCATGTTTGCTAAACCCGTCAAATTCCTGAACTAGTATCGGCAACTGACATTAAAACAAGAGGAGAATTTCGGGGAGATTAGTGAAGAGAAAGTGAAAAGAAAAAAAGAAGTCTGCGTGGAGGAGCGCAATGTAGATAGACTATTCGTAAATTCTCAAGAGATTGTTATAAATCATAACAACAACACTCAAATAAAAATCTGCAAATTGGATGGCATTGTGACAACATTGGCGATCATTGAGAAAGATGAAAAGCTCGTTGAAGGATGCGTTCAAGTGTTTGCCAACGCAATCGAGATGGATATTAGAAAGCAAAACATCAAAGGTTTTCAAGAGAATTGGTATCAATTGCTGGATTCTTATATTTTATTGGATTTGTCGAGCAACAATATCACCGAGATTGCGATAGAGACGTTGAACAGTTTGGCCAATCTATGGACCGTGAAACTTCTGGGCAACAAGATCCGTAGAATCCGTAGCCAAGTGATCGAAAACTATTACCTGAAAACCATTAACCTTAACAACAATCTGATCGACGAAATTGAAGAGAATGCGTTTGCAAGGACGAGATTATGGGATTTATATCTGGGAAGTAATCAGTTGAAAAGTTTAAACTTCGTCTCCAGTCTACCGGACACCCTAATGCATTTTGACGTGAGTCGAAATTACATAGCGTCTATTCCTAACAGTGTTTTTTTCCAAGTTCGATAATCTGATCGGATTAAATCTCGAATACAACGAAATTAAAATATTACAGACAGATGTCTTTCTAGGTTTAAAAGCTTTGTTTAACTTGAATTTGAGGGGCAATAATATAATGACCATCGAGGCTTCCGCTTTTAGAGGTCTGAGGGTTCTTCAAATGATCAATCTGCAGTGCAATTCTTTACACGAACTGCCGATAAACACCTTCGCCGAAATGAGGGTCGTGTGGAAGCTGGATCTCAGTAATAACAACATCGCGAAAGCCATGTTCAACGAACTTCCGTTCGTGAACTCATTGCTCCTCGATTATAATGATATTGAAGTTCTCGAGGAAGGCAATTTTGTTCAAGTCCCGAAAGGCACTTTGTCATTGACTGGAAACAGAATCACAAAAATAAAACGCGGCGCTTTTAATCTACCCACACTTACGCATCTGTATTTGGATAAAAATCTCTTGACGACCATTGAAGGCGATAGCTACGAAGGTTTGAGTCAGTTAGAGCACCTCTCTCTCTCCGAAAATAAAATATCAGATATTCGCAAGGGCGCTTGCATAAATCTGGGCAGTCTTGATCTGTTGGACATATCTAAAAATCCATTTGAAAAGTTGAAAAACGGCTCTCTTCACGGCCTCGACACTGACTACCGTACTAGAATATATATTCGCGCAAATAATTTGAAAGAGATACAAGGCGGAGTTTTTGATGATCTTTAATAAAATTTATATCATTTTTTAAACCGTAAGTCTCTAACACGTTTTATTAAACATTCTAACAAATAGATTTAAAAATATGAGTAAAATTAAATGTATGTATAAAAAATATTTAAAAAATGTATATATATTGCATATTAAAATATAAATATATATATTAAAATATAAGTAAGTCACTTAAAATTGTCTACTCGAATAATTCTCGCAGCTTTGAAGATAGTTAAGAAACGTTTCAAGTAAAAGCTCAATGATCTCGAGGGAAACATCTTACAGAGATAAACATTTTATTTCAAGTGTGGATACTTAAAAGATTGAAGATTCTTTTTACCTATTCAAGTAGAATCATTTAAATGTTTTACATAAATCTATTACAATATTTAAAAAGTATACTTAGAAGTTATAAGGGGTTAAAGTGGTTAAGAATTCTTTAGAGGATGCATTTTTAAATCGAAAAATCTCATAATATATTTTTCTAATAAATCTTTTAATATTTTCATGGCTAAATGATGAGAAGAATTAATTGATATAAAGGAAACATATGTTCTTTAATACAATATTATATTGATGATTTAAAGTATTTAAGTTAGTAATAAAACGTCACTTGTTTCTCGAATAGATAACCAATTCGTACACATAAGTTAATTTTATTTTAAATATATACTTTATTACTCTTTGTATTGAAGAAGACTGAGTGCAGTCGATACGTACGTACCTTATTAAGTAAAGAAATTGTTTTATTAACTTCCAAATATTTTAGTTTGTTTAGTTGGCCTAAATTGCTCACTTTTTTGAAAAATTAAGAAGCAATAAGTTCTAATGCAAAATAGAGAGCTTTTTGCATTTGAAAGAAAGTGTTATATTCCTTTCTTTCGTCATATATATATATATATATATATATATATATATATACCGGTGTCCCAGATCACCCCGTACACCCCTTTTCTTTCAAAAACTAAGCATTTTAGAGAAAAACGATAGACAAAAATTGTATGGTTTTGAAGAGAACATGCATGGAATACTCTTTGAGATATAAAGGTTTGAAGTCAACAATTTTTTGACATAAAATGTAAAATATCTTGTAAAATATTTAATTTGCGATAATAATGTCTTAATACTTTTCTGCACCGTATAATAAACTCAATCAATTGGTGTAAAAAGAACATATAGTTACTTATAAAAAAAGTATTTAGCAGCATGTTGAATATTACATATTCTTTTTAAAACAAATCTGTTTTCTTTATACCAACTGATTGATCTTATTATACTATGCAGAAAATTATTAAGGCTTATGATTATTTATTAATAATTATGATTATCGCAAATTAAATATTTTACAAGATATTTTACATTTTATGTCAAAAATTGTTAGCTTCAAATCTTTATAACTCAAAGAGCACTCCATAAAAAAATACTTTATTATAGGGTTTTGAAAAACTGCTGAGATAATATATGTAAGAATATGTAATGAAAAATAGGTAGTCCCATTTAAAAAATTGAAGGTGACCTTTACATGACCTTCAAATGATTATTCAAGGTTAAATATATGGCACGATCTTATGTCCCCCTCGAAACTCTACAACTTTTGTTTGAAACGTTTTTTCGTATCTCAAATTGTTTCCAAGATAGAGAGAGCCCAAGCCGGACTTTACAGACACCCTGTATATATATTATTCAAATTAAAGTAGTGAATTAAGGCCAACTAACGAGCAACATTAAAAAACATTGTACAATTTTAAAATATATGAATTTGCTCGTTAATTGGCCTTAATTCACCACTTTAATTTGTTATTTCAAATACAGAGCGGGTTTGTTCATTATTTTTATTTATATTTTATTATTAAAATATATTATTCAATTTATGACTGACATTAAAAAATCGTTCTAAATAATCTTAGAAACTTGGTATTACTCAAATATTTACTAAAATATTCGGTTGAAACATCAAGAAATCTCGATTTATTGAGATATTGATTTACGCGATTCTTTTCTAAACATATGATAATATTTAAATGTTGCCTGCATTTTCAGGAAAAATCACTATGGTTTTTACATTATTCTAGATCTATGAGACCTAAAACAACTTGAATTTTACTTTACACTCGAAGTCAAAAAATTGCACTTTTTGGACATCTTTTTTTTATAGCCAGCTCATTCATCCAACATAACACCGTTCGATTATTTTTTATGGGGAACACTAAAAAACATTGTGTACTAGGAAAGACCGACCACACCAAAAAATATGAAACAACGAATTATTATAGCATGTGCGAAAATCAGTCCGGAAGTATTAAGATGTGTACGTGCTTCAGGAATTCAAAGATTGCAATGTTGAATTGATGTAAACGGACATTACTTCAAACATCTCTTGTAAGATAATAATCATTATTTTACTCCTTTATTTAATGCCAAATACCTTTTATTATAGGTCGTTTGAAATTGTCTCAACGTACGCTGTTGCACTAAAAATAAAAAAGTATAGCATGCCATTTAAAAAAATAGAAGTGACTTTAAAATCTCCAAAGCGCCTCCACTTTTTAAAAAAATATTACTAACATGTTATTGCTCCCTTGATGTAGTAAATCGTAATTACAATTTTTTCATATCTCTAAAAATAGCGGAGATATTTGAGATAAACAGTTATTGCCTCACCTTATATATATATATATATATATAAGGCACGTCTTATTTACTTATTTTATAGATATAAATATATGTTTATTTTTCCTCGCTTTCGGCACTTTTCGCCCTGTCTTCGTATCTTAATAATTTATAATATTCTTTAAAAAATTTAAGTCACCAGTGATGATTAAAAACAATATAAGTTTATTCAAAAACGACCTGACTGGCCAATTACAAAATGACGTCGCACAACGTTTCAACCCTTCTTTACGGGCCCTTATCAAGTGTCTAAAATACTAAAAAAATTACAAATGAGCAAAAATTATACGTAATAATATCTAGAACAAGTTTATATGTATTAAATAAATACCTATTGAAACGCAACTACATTATAACTATAAAATTGAAAACTAAAAGCCGCAATCGCACGCAATATGTTGAATACGAGAACATCGCAAATTAGACGACGTATAGAATTACTTTCGTGTTTATATAGTGTCGATTGGAGAGGTATAAAATAAACATAATAAGACAAATACATTAGTTGTAATAAAAAACTTAAGAAATCAATAAGTCCCAACAGAACATAGGCATAAATAATAATGAGGACAAAAATTGTTTACAAAAACAAAGCCTATACTCTCTGTATCAACAAGTCATATACAGGGTTTAAATTCTCTGTATCTTTTTGTAGATTAATATTACAGTCAAACTTCTTTATAAAAAACATCTCAGCAATCTCTTTCTTCTTCTTATGTTTTTCGTAATGTAAAATTTTAGCATCTTTCCAATTAAAAAATCATGATTGTTTAAACAACAAAGATAGAGAATCTATTGCTGTAAGAGCCAATATATAATGCTTAGCAAATTTGCCAAGCTGAGGAACTATCTCAAATCGAGATTTTATAAGTTCCTCTTTCTTCCTAACAAACCTAAATTTCCTAAAACTGATATAGACGAGAAAAATATATCGGTCCGAAAAAGTCGGCTAAATCGGGAATCGAACCCGAGACCTTCCGCTTGCCGGGCGATTGCTCTTTCAGCTGAGCTATTCAGACACCTTAACAAACCGCTATATCTCTCTCGTCCCAATGTAAACTAATGAAAATACACGTATTACAGCCAGCGTGTGTAACAAACGAATGATATGGCTAAATCGCTCCTATTATAAATAACAAAGATAGAGAATCTATTGCTGTAAGAGCCAATATATAATGCTTAGCAAATTTGCCAAGATGAGGAACTATCTCAAATAGAGATTTTATAAGTTCCTCTTCCTTCCTAACAAACCTCCTAAATTTCCTAAAATTAATATAGACGAGAAAAATATATCGGTCCGAAAAAGTCGGCTGAATCGGGAATCGAACCCGAACCCGAGTTTGTTACACACGCTGGCTGTAATACGTGTATTTTCATTAGTTTATATTGGGACGAGAGAGGTATAGCGGTTTGTTAAGGTGTCTGATTAGCTCAGCTGGAAGAGCAGTCGCACGGCAAGCGGAAGGTCTCGGGTTCGATTCCCGATTCAGCCGACTTTTTCGGACCGATATATTTTTCTCGTCTATATCAATTTTAGGAAATTTAGGAGGTTTGTTAGGAAGAAAGAGGAACTTATAAAATCTCGATTTGAGATAGTTCCTCATCTTGGCAAATTTGCTAAGCATTATATATTGGCTCTTACAGCAATAGATTCTCTATCTTTGTTATTTATAATAGGAGCGATTTAGCCATATCATATGATTGTTTAAAGCCCAATGTTTGCTGATCACATTATAATTACTGGGATGTTTTTTAATGTTATTACAATGTTTTTTGATCCTTGTGGATAATTGTCTGTTAGTTTGACCCGTATATGTTGCCGAATTATTATTGCAATTTAACTTATATACAACGTCTGTTTTACAACCTATGTTTAATCTATCCTTTCCCTTGACAATCAAGCTGCTGAGATTTTTCGGGATGGTGTGTACGACATTTATGCCAACCCTATTCAAAACCATATTCAAACTCTCGCTTAAGTTTTTTACATAAGGCAAAGACATACGAGGTGTGTTCAAAAATCGCGAATTTTGTGTTTTTTCAAAAATTATTTATTTATTCATGAATATCTATTTTGTCCCCTTCAAAGTAATCCCCACCAGATATTATACACTTGTGCCAACGTTTTTTTCAATCCTCGAAGCACTTCAAAAAATCATTTTTTGTGATCTTGTTCAGCTCCTCCTTTGATGCCGTCTTTATCTCCTCAATCGTAGCGTAGCGTCGTCCTTTCATGGGCCTCTTCAGTTTCGGGAACAAGAAAAAGTCACAGGGGGCCAGATCTGGGGAATACGGTGGCTGCGGCATTATTAGTGTGTTGTTTTTGGCCAAAAATTCGCGCACAAGCAACGATGTGTGAGCATTTCGAATTTCGCGGCGACCCGTGTCATGCCCAAATCATTGGTAAAAATC